CCTGGGTGCGTCGTCACTCCAGCGTCGAGATCAAAACGCTGGCCGACGCCATCAAGATCCGTCGGATGCGACAGATGCCGGGCATCAGAGGCGTCAGGTGAGTCGGCCTGAACGGGATGCAAGTGATTTCGGGGTAGGCTCATTATGGCCAGGTTTGGCCGACTGACTGTCCTAAAATTAATATTTCTTTTCAACCTCTTATATCTGCTAAGTTCTAAGTGTTTCAGTCAGAGCATATTAAAGTCTCTGTATAAGAATATAAGAAATCATGTATAAGAATCGCAATGACTTAGACGTATGCAGAGTGATCGAGACTGTGGAGCTGACTATTTTAAGCACATGTTGTTTTGTGTTTCAGGCCACCGCTACCGCCTTTCACGCATGCCTCATACTCCATTTGACAGATCGGCGTGGACATGGTAAGTGGAAAGAAGTTTAAAGTTCGTAAATATAATTAGTTTGGGGGGGGGACAAAAGTCTAATTTTACGTACGGCAAAACTAAGCCACAGACTGCATAAATATTACCATGTTCCCATGTTTCCAGATAAGTATAGGATAAAATGATAAATATAGATAAACAAAGATGAACATTAACCCGCGCCCGACTGGGGGTCCTGGATTTCCACGCCCTGCTGGGGGGGGGGGGGTGTTTGAACACACCCCCCCCCCCTTGTAACTCGGCTCCTGGGCCACGTAGCGATACGCGGAAGGCGGCGTTCGAAAGAGCGTCAAAAATAATGACGAAATCACTTCGGTCAATTTTTTGGTCAGGTCAAAGGTCAGGTCACCAGAGGTCATTGAAGGCAAAATTTCGCCGATTTCCAGGTCGAATGACGAAAATTTCCAAGAAGCCAGCGCATAACTCGAGAACCAATAGAGCTACAGCGCCGCGGAAAAGCGCATTCGATAGCCCTATTAAAGTCCTTTCTGAGTAATTCTCTCAGATTTAACCTAACGTCAACGGTTTTGCCTGCAGGGGGCAAAAACTGCCAAAATAGCCGATTTTTTCGAAAACAGTTTTTCTGCAATAACTTTTGACCCAAGCCTTGTACGAGCTTACTTTTACCGGCATTGTGTTCCTCTTGTCAAGACGCATCGAATGAACTATAAGTTGACCTTGAAAGGTCAACTTGAAAATTTGACCTCAGGTCAAGGTCATGACCTGACCGGAAAGGGTCATGTTGCATATCAGTCGATCCGTATCGTCGAGCTGAACACATCTAAGGCGTTTTCATCGCTCTAGCATGCCTCTATCAAAAGTTATTTGCGAAAAACTGTTAGATACCATTCGTGACCTAAGATGACCTCAGGGCATAATTAAGGGTCACGGACACCATTTTCATGTTCAGTGTGTCTAAACCACTTGTAATGCGGTGTTTGGGAGTGTTTATAATGTCTTTTGTTCAAAAGAGGCGCATTTCAATTTTCTCCCATTGACTTATAATGGGGAGGTCGCAAAATTGACCTGACCTTAGGTCATCGATATCAAAATTCTGAGATATACATTTTGTACATGCTATTGCTCTTAGCAATCGCTGAAAGTTTCAAAGCGATCGGTCACTCGGTGTAGCTATGACAGACATTGAAACTTTTTATGAGGTGAGGTCACTTCAAGTGACCTGGTGACCTGACCTTTAATGACCTTGGTCTGAAATTTTCACAACATGTGTAGAATTGATGTATGATAAGGTATACGAAAAACGGCGGCGCTTTGCGCCGCCGTTTTTGAGATATTCGCGAAAAACCACAAGGGGGGGTGTTCAAACACCCCCCCCCCCAGCAGGGCGCGGGTTAATTACAAATAATAAATGTTTTTTTTCGAACTCACTGGTTGCTGAAAAAACACATTTATATATTTCCGTAAATAATTGTTACCCTCATTCATTGCGCTTACAGGGCCGATACATCAGCATCCAGACATCATCGAAGAGGCGGCAGCATCCGCACCACGTCAAAGGTTCAGATGATCGGCAATCGCAGTCTATGTAGCTGAAGCCGAGGCCAACTCTGTGGCTGCACCACAAACCTGCATGAGAGCTGCTCGCTGCCCAGCTGCGGATGTGAATACTGAATCCAGACACCTAACGCAGGAAGCAGACCATCTCTGCTGTCCACCGGATACACTCAGTGTCGCACATATAGTAGCTTGAACTGTGGAATTAGTGATTGTTCGAGGACTGTCATAGGTGCTGTCAGCTGCCAGCTGCCCGACAGCGTCGGTCCCCTGGTATCTCGACAATTGTCATGATAAAAAACTGACCGAAGACGACACCGACCGGAGAGCTGTTTTGCAAAGTTCGTGCATCAGGTGCAGAGTTTCGTAGAAGGAATCGACAGTTCCGAGTCTGTTCAAAAGAGGTACAAGCGCGGGTGAATGAGCTTTGTGCTATGATTGTGATAATGTTTTTCTGACCGACTTTTACCGCAAAACGAGAAAAGACAGGCGTTTCAGCGAATTCAGCTCAATACGTCTTTTACAAGACTTTTACACTCTGTCTTTTTCTAAAATGTTCTTAGTCTTTGTGATAACGCGTGTCATTTTGATAATGCGTGCATGTTGACTAGAACTAGCCGTGTCTTTTATTGCGCTTACTGGAAGCGCCATTTGTCCTGGCGTAGGTATAAACGAACTTGGCTGACATCTGTTTCGCACTCGATATGTGTAAAATCGAATGGCACGCTTCAATTTAGTCAGTCTTTAGTCCGGATCATTCAGACAATACATGCATTGATCTATACGCTGGTGACCTCGTGTTTGCTTGTATGTTGTTGAAAGGTGATGAACAAGAACAATTGAAACTCTGCAAAGGAGCACTAAACGTCATAATTTATACTTCGTAGACGCAAACAATTTTATTATGTACCTAGCCCACGCAAAACTGAGGCATATTCCATACCACCACTGACGGGGGGGGGGGGGGTCCACAAGCTCCCTACCATCTCCTAAGCTACTGGTCATAAATTCAAAATTCAGTGTTTGAACATTTAGGAATTTTCACTTTGGGCTCAGGCCCCAGCTTGGCCTACGAGCTTGGGGCTCCTGGATTTTCACGCCCTACTAAGGGGAGGGGTGTTTGACCCCCCCCCCCCCAAATCGGCTCCTGGGCCACGTAGTGACACGCAGTAAGCGGCGTTCAGAAGAGCGTCAGAAATAATTACTTTACACAGGTTATTTGTACGACACAGACAGCTCGGACCCGGCACTCCAGACTTACCTATGCCAACCTAAGGGTTCTTATGGATTCAGAAAATAATGCAGATCTGGCCAACTATTGTCGCCTCGTACTTGAGCAGACGCATGCTCTTAATGCTAATAGAGGAAGGTAGTTTTAGGAAGGTAGTTGTGTGTTTTTATATTGTCTTGTGTTTTAGACTTTGCGTGTCTGGCTTCGAATTTAACTAGACATTTAGTGCACGTGTATGTTACTTTTAATGGACACTGATTTACGTGCATTTTAAGGTTTGTGTTTTATCCGCGTTTATTTCTATTTAAAGTTACATCATTTGTACATGCACCTGGTGTCAATAAACTCTACTACTACTTCTACTACTACGTCTGGTTTAAGAGGCTAGCAGAAGTCATCAAAGGTAAAATTTCGCCTTCTACAGTAATTTTCGACAAGCTGGCGCACTACTCAGAAATAAATAGAGATAGAGCGCCGCAGAAAAACGCTTTTGGAGCCCCTTTTAACACTCTTCCTGAGCAGTTCTCTCAGATTTGAACCAAGGTTTACGGTTTAGCCTGCAGAAGACAAAAACTGCCGAAAGAGACGTTTTTATGGAAACGTTTTTTTTTTGCATTTACTTTTGAAGCAAAACTTGCACGAGCTTACTATTACCGGCATTATTATTATTACGGCATTATTACCGCTCTTCGATACGCGTCGAATGAACTATGATCTGACATCAGGTCAAGTTATGACCTGTCCGAAAATAGGTGATGTGGATATCAGTTGATCCGCATCGTCCAGTTCTTAGGTGTGAAACACATCTAAGATGCTTTCATCGTTCTATCATGCCTGAGATGCCTCTATCAAACGTTTTTAGCGAAAACTGCTCGATGTTTTTCGTGACCCGGGATGACCTCGGATAGAAAGAGGGGGTCACGAGTGCAATCATTCGATTCAATACTCTATACTTACCTGTAACCAGATTTTTGAGTGTTTGGCATGGCGTTCGTCCAAAAGGCGAATTCCAATGTTCTCCCATTGAATTATAATGGAGAGGTGACAAATTTGACGTGACCTTACGTCACGGATATCAAAATTCTAATAGATGCATTTTATGCATACCATTATCGATTGTTGAAAGTTTCAAAGTGATTCGTCCATCCGTTCCTTGGTGCAGCTATATGGGAAGCATCAGAACTTCCCTGAGGTGTGGTCACTTGACACGACCTTGTGACCTGACCTTTAGAGACCTGATTTAGAAATGTTCACAAGTGCAGAAAAGAGAGTATGATAAGATGTGCCAAAAACGGCGGGGTAAGATATTCGCCAAAAACCGCAAACGGGCATAGGTGGGACTTTGTGCCGACCTGGGGGTGCCCGGGTAACACTAATCCGCCGCCGCCCTAGCGGGGACCTTGACCTCTGCCGTCTGTTACGGCTCCAAAGCCAAACCGGCGTGGAATTGGGAGAGCTCGGGCACCCCAGCTCGGCACAAAGCTCCACCTATGCAAGGGGGTGTTAAACACCCTCCAGCAGCAAAACCGACCGGGTTTTCAAACGGGCCGTAAATTATGCGGCGTATGACCTACGAGGCCTTTGTCATAAAGGATTAAAGAATTAGGTGCAACAAAATAGCGAAAATCTGAAAGTATCTGATAAAGTTTTATTTCATGGGAGTCATGCACCTATCGAAGTGTACACATTTGAGCAGAGACTGAGCTTCCTTTCTATAAAACTGTTTCTTCTTTTTTATAGTTTCAGCAGCTATTTTTGTTTTCGTAGAATACAGTCATTCAGTTTATGAAGCAGCCCTCGGTGCGGAGGTCACCGGAGCAGACGCGGGGCCGGTCGGGTCACGGCGGGTCAGTCAGACGGTGACATCGGAGGGGTCGAGGGAGGGGCGGCAGCCAGCGGCGTTCTTCGCTCTCCGATCTTTGACGGGAAGAATCGTTTTGTAAGTATCTACGCTGAATTCTATCTATATGTATTTTACGGGGGATTAAACTGTTCAGACAATTGCCATTCTCTTAATGCTTAGCTTCCTATTGGTCGCTCAGTTGACCAATTTCTGCAACACGTTTGGTAATTAACTTTCATTACCATTTCCTTTAGACGTGAGTAGCACATCTAAACTATAATATAGTATATAGCACATCTAAATAATAATTATAATATAATAGTAATAATTATAGTAATAATCGATCGTAAAGTGATAGTTTGAGCACCATTATGAGCTTCCTTGAATGACAATATGCATACATTTTGCGGCATTACGTCATAATTTGGATTGCTGTTTGGGTTGGCACGCTGCAATCGCATGCCACCTACGTAACAAGAGTCGTGATGCTCGAAAATACCCGATAAAATCGCTAAATTGACGTGGAGCCAGTGAAGCATTCTGCTGACGGCCCACGCGCCAGACGGCTGCATGAGCGACCGGGTACCCACGCACGGTGCCGACTTACGGCGCCATTACGATCGTCACAGTCCAGTACGTCAGCGGGCAGCCGGGAGTCGGGATTACGCTCCGGGTACTGATTAACCTCGTGGGCGTACACATATGTGGCTTTTCATAAGAGGAGAATGTAAATGTGCACTGCGCAGGTATTCAGATGATGTGTTGCGCGCCCTCTGCGGTAGCACAAAGAGGTGCGATTTAATTGAGTTATTTTAGTAATCGACTTATGGTGCTTACATGGGTTTAAATTATGTCGTCCGAGCTTGCTCTGCACTTATATTGTTCCACCTACAATCTACATTACCGCAAAGTATAGGTCTGATAATTCCTCTGCGGAAATATTGTTGTCTCTGGGGGGTCCTTTGACCTGTAGTCGCTTTGTGGGACGCCTCTGACCTGTCTGTATCCCCGCCCATCCAGACTGGCCGGCGATGCGCCGTCCCCGGGTCAGCCAGCCGGCCCCCGCGGCTGCCAAGGGCCCGCCGGATCCCGAGTGGGGCCTGATCGACTCCAGTCTGGTGATGTTGGTCAGCATCAGCCTGGGCTTCAACTGGGCGCGCTGGTTCTGCGAGGGCGCCGAGGACGGCTGGCAGTTCAGCTGGCCGCTGCAGCTGGCGCTCTGCTGGTCGGCCTGGCCGCTGCGCAAACACCTGCCGCTGCCGGTGCTGGGCGTGCCGCTGGAGCGCGGCTACTCGCTGGCGGCGGCGCTGCTGCCGGCGCGCCCGCTCCGCTGGCTCTGTCCCGACCTGTGGCTGGCCCTGCTGCTGCTCTATCGACTCGGACTGGCCATGCCGCCTCTGATGGCCGCCCGCATCACCGAGCTGAGATCGGCCACCATGCAGTGCCTCCCAGAAAACTGGCAGCCCGACCAGCAAATAGTCACCACTGTCGTCAAAATTTAACGACCAACACCGGCGCTGGACCGACTAACACCGACAAGAGGCAGCTACTGTGCGCTTCGCCTGCCGCTCAGGAGCGGTGCAGCGATACGCATCTGATCTCGACACTCCTTCAAATGTCTTTCTCCGATCTCATCGTTTGATCTCACCCGTCGTTTGGTTTGGCATCAATGCGTTGGTTCGCTTATTTTACTCATCACTTTTATTAACATTGACTGCTTTTTATTCGTTTTAGACCACTGTTTTGGCGACTTTGTTATTTCTGGCTTGTTTTACCTATGCTTTTGGCACCGTTCCAGACAAATCGTCTGTGATCATTGACGAAGCTGAATAAAAAACTAAGCTTCTGAATGTGTTTTCATCAGTGTCTGCACAATTTGCACCTTACAGTGAAGAGATAACCTGAGATGAATATCCTACATCGTTGTTCTGCAGGAGGAATGTTTGAAGTCGAATTCCTTTACTAACGACATCCGACACATGGAATGGAGTCCATTATTTATCACGGCCAGCGACAGGCCAACACGCGACAAGAGTGTCTCCGGCACGATAAGATAATGTTAAATGATCACACTCCAGCTGAATGCATAATGCCGTGAGACGCACCTCGGCTCGGAATACTTATTCACTATTTCCTGGAGAAGCAGGCGGGCATTGCAGAGTCAAACACTATTGAGTTATTGTCTATCAGAGAACCATTAGAGTTTCGACAGGTTGATGGCCGGTATTTTATTCTCGCCCACCCTCCCGATGTAGTATGCAGGTCAACATACCAGTGCAGACGAAGCCAGAGAGGACCGAGAGCTGTCTCTCCATTAGCTTACGTCAACTGCATTTATATAAATCAGCCGGCCCTGTGTCGTGTCCAGAATGCACTTCCACACAGCCGCCAGGGACGACTCAATTGCATTGCGTGATAGCCGTCACTCAGAAACGTCATGGGGCCATCTCCCAGATAAATAACGCCGATATATTTCAAAGGCAGCGTTCACCAGATACAGCACTGGGCAGTAGGAACAGCTTTTAGCCTTTTAGGCATATTCCAAATATTTCAAATATTCAGCGATTCGGATCCGATGTCCTATTACAAATGACAACTGTCGAACCTGTAAAATCGATGTGTTTTACGGAGGTGATTAATGTGTTGCCAGTATTGCCTTTGAGAGCGCCGACTTCCTGTCGTTAGCTACCTGGTCATATTTTGCAGTCTCCATGCAGTTAGTTTTTAGGTGACAGTCTCGGTCTCCATGTTCATGTTGTTAGATTCTTCTTTCTTAGCTGCATGGTTGTAGTCTCAATCCTGCTAGCTTCCTAGCCATGATTGCAGTCTCCGACTTGTTAGCTTTCTGGTCATGACTGCATTCTCCGTCCTGTTAGCTTCCTGGTCATGGTTGCAGTCTCCACCCTGGTATCTTCCTAGCCATTTTTGCAGTCTCCAGCTATCGTCCAAGTCAGTGCTGCAGTCTAGGGTACTCTCCGAATCAGACATTCAGCCTCGCAAGGAATTTGGCTTTATGCATGAGTTCCAGGCATTTCCAAACATGTTCAATTGCCATTTATTCACTTGAGCTGTTTAGTGCCTGAGCACACCAAACAATACATAATCTATGCGAAAAGGTTTCAACAATCGAATTGCTTCCATTGTGACCAGAAATCATATTGCGCTGAAACAGCTCGATGCAGCTCTCAAGCAGCACCTCATGACCTCTAGATGGGAAAACTTCAGTAAAAAGTCCGCGAGTCATCAGTCAACCGAGGATGCCAGGCCACCCCTTCTATCACCACTCATGACCTCCGCAGTGACCCGGGACCGCGACTGCAGTGTCTGATAGATCGGTCGTCATCGGTCATATCGTCCTGTGTCGCGGGACAGAACAGACCGAGGGTGTTAGCTGTGGCCTCGCCGCGGGCGTACAAGGTCGAGTGCTCTGTACCCGCTCACCACTGTCCAAGTCACGTCAATCATCGCCAGATCGCTGGCAGGGAGTCGTGCTCTCCGGCGCTGATAGTTATGCATTAGACGAGCATACCGTCCGCATTTGTAGACCCATCTCAACATGACATGTAATGCCGGCTGCGCTGATAGATCGGCATCGACATGAAATGGGACAATGACCGGTCAATTGTGTTCTGCTTGAGTGCTGCGCTGAAGTCGTCTCATTGGAATAGGACTTCAGACCATCGTGGACGCTGCAGCTCAACAGAAATTTTTTTTTCAGATTGACTGAACAATGGACAAGTTCAGTGTATCACATGAAAAACGTTCAAACCTCTCCTGGCAACTATCGGGCAGTCGCGGAGCTCCTGAGGGATGGCCATTGACAGCCATATGGACACCAAGATTATCTTTGAAATCTAAATAGAGCAATATAATTACATAAGGGTTGGAAAGGAGATAGTTTATTGAAAGTGAGTAGCGTTTATATTTCACACCGTACGGAGCGATTTCGGCGACTGGACTACCAGGAACGTCTCCTCGGCTGCTCACGGATAGGTCACAGTGCCGGCGCGTTACCCGTGTCTCCAAGGTCCAGGGCACGCGACATCTCGGCACGCTCCACGCCGGGCGATGTCCCGCAATGCAAGGCACGTGTCGGATTCGGCCCCCGATACTGACTGCATTAGACCGGCGGCGAAATATCCACCGAACTGGAATGCATCGCGAGTGGTGGATCCGAGGCAGGGTAAAAGGCTTCTCCGGCCCCAGTCTCGCTGGGTGGTCCAGTATCGTTTGGAAATCCCAACGGTTGCCGCATTCATTATTCAGTCGATAAGTGAAATCCTCATCAGATATTAGTGCTGATGGTTTCTGCGCTCGCTGTGGTCATGTAAAAGCAAATCGGTGGTCAAGCTATTGAGGAAGGCATGGTAGGATTAAGACCAAAAAGCGTTCAAGTAGTTAAGATTCTTGACAAATTACAAAGATGACGAAATAAGAAAAAAAAACTTATTGGCATTGGCATGGTCGTTAGTCGGAGCCCGTTTCATTAATAGGCACCAGTCTCACGGAAATTGTGACGAAAATAGCATGACATTTGTTTGTTTATTGTAACATTTATTGTAATCATTTATGAAGCTCTTGACAATGAGCTATTTTTTTAATATGCTACGGAATCGTTATCGTAGAAACTCAACACACTGCTGAATAAGTGTTAACTGTATAGTGTATAGGTATGTAACGTTGGCTTCGCAACAGCCTGATGGATAATATCGTTTGCTTTCCATATCTCGCCAGCTTGGAAGGTAGAACTACCTGTAAGTTTGATCCGCTAATATGAAAATAGAACGTTTCTTTTGTCTATGAATTGGGTAATAAATTGAAATAACCGTTGAGGCTTCTCACATGACGCCTGGCCTGACGGAGCTAAAATGCGCTGCTCATCCTCATGAAACGGTTAGCTAAAGACGAAGCTTAGCCTTTCTTCGAGCCTTGTATTTTGTAATTTTACCCATTTCGCATAGCAGAACGTCTCCATATTTTCTCGGACTTGGAACCTCGCAGCTTCCAGCAGCCTGTCGCCATTCGATGGCATTCCGGCACCTCTGACGTCATCGGAGGCCACAATCCGGAGGACCGGGCGGCAGATGATGATTGGACGGTAAATCACCGGACTGGGGAGCGGCCGGACCCGGCGCCGGCCGGTCGTCTCTCTCAGACGGCGGCGCCACCAGCCGCCGGTCCGTCAGACCCACAGACGTCCCCCGTCTGACGTGAGCCTGACGTACTGACGTGACCTAGTGACCCGTCGCGGTAACGCCCGCCACAGAGGGCAGCCTCGCACCTGTTACTGTCAGCGCACGGGATGCAGACTGCAGACGACAGACATCTGCCCATTGTAACGTCATTTCAATGTAATGACGTCACATCCGGTGATGTCATCACGTCTGGCGTCGTTGTCGTATCCGGTGGCGTCGTTCAATGCGCACCAGCTACCTAAAATGTTTGTTGGAGGGCTTTGCCGGGAAATACTGGGTGCAGTTCGAGTTTCTTAAGTGGGTGGCTTTTATCTTGTTTTCCATAAACACGTTCGCAATTATCACTAATCTGGCTTTATAAGCTCACTAGCCATAAGCAAAGCTACCTTACACCATCATAAGCACACGAATCGTGTGGATACGTAAACAATTCAAGTGAAGATAAAGCATTTTTGCATAACGCTCAGGTCCGTCTTCGTAGCGAGTAAGTTACAAACATTTCTTCAAAAGAATGTTAATTGCTCTCTTGCGCCCTAGCAGCCAGTATAGCCTGTGACCTGCACTGGCTCAGGAACAAATTCTAGCACCGTCTGTTGTCCGTAGCTTTAGCAATACCTCTTCCCAGGCAGTTTTCTGCTAACCCTCGCCCGTATTGGTGTTTTTCCAGCCGAGAACGTATAAGGGGGGGGTCCGTTGGACCCCCCCCTTGCCGTTTCGCCCCTGATCGAGCTAGAGCTTCGCGGAAAAAACGAGCGTGTTGCCCGTGACGAGAGGAAGCCGATGATACCTAATTTTAAGGTCCTAGGTCATTGGTTGACCTTGCAGGTCAGGTCAATGACCCAAAAGTCGGGAAAATCGGGACCTGTTAGAACGTCGTAAAGTGTGGCTGCTACGGGGTTTTTCGGGGTGCTGATCACGAATATCATGTTAGTTTTGATCACAGATGATGTCTTCATGCATTTAGTCCGGGTCGGGTCAGGTCAGGTCAGGTCAACCAGTAGGGGTCCTGCCGGGTATTCCTAGTAGGTGTCAACCGCCTCTGATAGCTTCGTAACATGTTACGAAGGCACCAAAACTACTTCGTAAATGTTCAAATGGTTGCTAAATTCGAATTCAGCTGCAAAAACTGACCTAGAAACATGTAAAACTCGAAAAAGTGTACCGAGGTCATCAAAGGTCAATGACCTGACTTGACCTTCAGGTGACCTTGACACCCACTCTAACGCATGGGGGCAACATCATATCACATGTTTGAACGCTTGAAACCACGAAAAGACTGCAAACGCGCGGCTAATGCGAGCCGACATACGCCGAATCGCGATTCCGGCCAAACATGGTCTCGAAAAGTAGGTCACAGGTCAAAGGTCATTGGGGTCAGGGTCATGAAATTTTCAGAGTAGATGTAAAATTGATTAACGCGAGGGTACTGAAAGTTTCGTCGCGATCGGCCGCTTTTTACGCGAGTTATTCGCGAAAAACCATGGGGGGGTCCGTTCGACCCCCCCCCCCCCTATACGGGCGAGGGTTAATTTGGCAAACATTTATGCGTGACATCATGTCCAGTAGGGTGTGTCACTAGAAACAGATCAAGCGCTTCCGCTGATTTTCCTTGTCCCTGTGTCTATGGAAGCCCATTGGTGCAGTTCTTTTT